GAACAATGTCGTATACAGAGCCAAAAACAGGTATAGCATAGCCCCCGCTTCTGCTGAGTTGACTACACCTGTGCTTGCCAGCTCTCCCAACCAAGTCAGCCCCCCCCCCCCATTCACTTTGCTTCTCAGTCTACACATCCTGGATTAGCTTTTAGTGGTGCACTATAAAGAACAATATATATTCTAAAGAAGTTACAGGCACCGCCAATACACGTGCCCCCTCACGTAGAGCATTTTAAGGTTTTGTAACATGCATACAGTACATTCGGAAGGTATTCAGACCCCTTCCCTTTTTCCACATTTTATTACGTTACCGCCTTATTCTAAAATGGATCAAATGCAAAATGTTCCTCATCAATCTACACACAATACGCCATAATGACAAAGCGAAAACAGGTTTTTAGATTGTTTTTGCAAATTTCTAAAAACCAGTTTTTGCTTTGTTATTATGGGGTATTGTGTGTAGATTGATGAGGGGAAAAAACAATTTAATCCATTTTAGAATAAGCTCTGTAATGGAAGGTCACAATGTTGGCGATGATGACTTAGAAGTAACCCAACTTTATTCTCTGCATCTCTGCATGTCTGCAATATTGTAAAAAATCATAACAATTAGACAGTCCCCATTGCCTAAATCTTTTCATATACAGTTTTGTACATGGTATGACACTGATGGTATGATTTAGAATTTTGTGCAGTAGTATTTACTGATTGCTGGAAACAGTGAACACAATTGCACACATCTCTTCTGATGAAAACAATGTGTTAATATTCTGTGAACAAAACACTTAAAGGCCCAGTGCAGTCAAAAACGTGATTTTCCTGTGTTTTATATATATTTCCACACTATGAGGTTGGAATAATACTGTGAAATTGTGATAATTATGGTAACACTTTTTGGTGAGATGGAGTTTTGGCTTGCCTGGTGACATCACCAGGCGGTAAATTAGTTAATAGACCAATAAGAAAATCTCTCTGCCAATAACAGCTAGTTTTCAGTTTTTCCCTCCCCACTCAGACCACTCCCAGACAGTCCTAGAAAAAGTATTGCTTGAGAAATTGCTCTTTGCTAAGAAGCTAGTTTTGATCATTGCTGTTCTGCTATAGATACGTTTCAACACAGATCCAAAAATTGCTTGTATGCGACTGAGAAAAACTGTAATGGAAAAATACAATCGTCTAAGAGGGATACACTACTGTGACTCTCACTCGCCCCTCTCCCCCTCTCCTCCCTTCACCTCTCTCTACCCCTTACTTATTCCCTCCCTCCCTCTCTTCTCTCTCTCTCTCTCTCTCTCTCTCTCTCTCTCTCTCTCTCTCTCTTTCGCTCTGTCTTAAATGTATATCTAGAGAGAGAGAGAGAGAGAGAGAGAGAGGAGTGATTTTAGGTTCAAAAGCTCACTAATGTGGCATTTCATGAGGCTCAATGCATTCTCCCTAGTGTGCGGGGCTTTGTGAAACCAGAGCCTCAGGGTACGGGGAGGCGGCATGGGGAGTGAGGATTCGCACATGGCTGGGAGAGAGGGAGAAGCCCAATCGTTGTCTAGGACAGGTGTCTAGGAACATAAAGTCTATAAAATGTTCCTAGACAGGTGTGACTCTTAAAAAAAATCAATGACACACTGTATTGTAATCATCTATTGTGAAGACAGCATTTAAAGGTAAATATCTACCCAGAAAATCTAACAGGTTGACAAAGTATTCAGGAATGTTTTAGTGAAACCATGGTTTAAAAAACTACAAGATGCAGGTAAAAATTCATATTAAATTAATATTATTCTCACACATATCACACACATAACCATAGTTATACTGTACAACAAATAATGAAAGTAGACAGAGCTTGACTCCCAAATTCCTTTGCAAAGGAGTTGCTAGGTGATGGATTCTTTAATCCTCTATATTCATTCTCATACCAGCACACCCTCCCACTCCCCATATGCCATACTCCAACCTCTCTATCTCTCCCCATGACAATACATATTTTGTTCTACTTCACTAATATTCATCAAGGGGATGGTATTTCAAATTCTAAAGCCCATATGTAAAATTATTTGTCATTTCTCTTGACTTTATGGATTAACTGTGTTTGCATGTCACATTGCTTCAGATTCTAGAATATGAACTTTTATCATGAGTTTCACGCAGTATTGTTCTTATTTTGTACACAAAGAAAGAAACATAAAAAGGTAAATAGGCCAACTTTTTTATTGATATCTGGTTTGCTTGTGGCTCAGGTAAATTATTGAGGCCATCAAAAGCATAATGCTAATTCCACTTCCCTGTTCGCCACACCCCCTCCCTATAAGGAATTGATGACATTCCAACAGGCGTGGTTGATGACCTCCTCATTTGTGAATGAGGCTTCTGCGAACTCAGCGTTCAGTTGAGCAACTAATGTTAGTGTGGAAGTATCCCAACCTAGCCTAGAAATAAGGAGAAAACCTTCCCAAATGGATTCACGTGGAATTAAGTGCTTGTTGTTTTCCTATGTATTTATTAACGGTATATTTATTACACTACAAACTAAAGAAGGTAAGCAAAGTCTTGGCTACTTTTATAAATCAAATTTCTCCTTTTGCAACAAATATCCTTCTATGCCCAGGTTGTGGGACCACGAGGAAGTTGAATGTATAAAGCGTAGGGCAAGAACGTAGTGATACAATGACGCAACTTGTAGAAGTGTTGTTTTTTTGTTGCATTTTGACCACAATCCCTTATCAATTTTCAGAAAATTTAAACCACATTCGATTATCAGCTGTCTATCCCTGATCACTTTAACAACATGAGGGTGTGCTGAGAGTAATCTACATTATAGAGGGCTAGTACCTGTTTGAATGTTGAGTTCACAGATTGTCTCTAGATCAATAAGATTGCAGTGTGACGTTGTATGAACATATGAAATATAACACAGTAGACTGTTAGGCAAAAAAAGTAAGACTATGCTACTTTGCCATAGTTGTCCTACACTGAAATTAAATGATGAAGTGGAGATTGTTTTCTTTATTTTTTCAAAAGGAATTAAACGATTTCACGCTTGTCAGTGCAAGGTAGCCTAAAATCTACATAAGGGAGACATGGATAATTATCTGCATGGCTGGGCTGAACATTCATACCTGTTACCACATAGTGCACGTTGAATGATAGATGATAAAGTTAGGATATTCTATCTCATTAAGTTAATGATTACACCCTAAGCTTCCTTTTTAATTTTAAGTCACTGACATAGGCCTATGTTTAAGCCTCACTTTAGGAAGTGTAAGGGAATACGACGTTAAATCACTATTCATTAAGTAAAATATTAGTGGAAATTATAATACCAAGAAGCAAATTAACTTATTGTCCCAGCTCTCTCTGTTAGGTCAATCACATTTCACTAAGTAAATACCTATTTGGTTGAATTAGACTTAATTTTGACTTTTTACCCTGTGCAGTGGTGCTGTTGGATATGAGAGCATCAGGAAGTGAGCTAGGCTGGCTGACCTGGCCATATGAACAAGGAGACAAGCAAGGGGTGAGTATCCATCCACTCTTTTCCATGCCCTGTCCCTGTCCTCTTCTCTTTGGGGAAGTATGGATGGAGTAGCACATAATATGCGATGTCTGACTTTCTCACCTTCACACTACTTTCACAACTCTTATTTGCCAGTATCTGCCTTTGCAACTTGGTGCTCAAGTACAAATGTTCGTCAAAGTGTAATGTCAAATTAAATATGTGAAAAGGTCACGTTATTCTAATGGGGGTTGGGTTTTAGTGTGTAGCATGTCTGGACTATTCAAAGGGAGAGACAGACTGGAGAGAATGGCAGTTATAGCAAGTGTGGTAGAGAATACTTGTGGCTTCATGTGGTTTTAAGGCCCTCGTTTCAGAATTGTATGTAAGGGTGCAATTAACTTAAGTTTGGAGCATATGGTACCTTTTGGGAAAATTAGATGTAGCGAGTTAAGTTAGCTATCGGTTTCTCATAAGTAGAAAATGTGTTGTCTTTCATCACAGTAAAATACAGATTGTTGTTGTTTTTTCTTATCGTTTGCTTTTGTGTCGTGCATGCTTGGGCCCAATTCTGTGTCATTAACATTTGAGTGGTCATTCAGTTGCATGCAAATAATTACACGTTTGTCTAGTTGATGGGTTGATGACTGAAAGGCAAGTTTGGGCATGCTGAACATGCATAATCCTATCTTAAATCCCTCAAAATAGTGTCTTCAATTGTGTACTAACAGTTATGTTGAATTTCACCTGGCACAATCTCGCTGAAGTTTAACTACTGTATAGACCAGTGAGATAAAAGATAATTGAAAGCCTGAGTAGTAGTTTTATGTTTTTATAGCACTTCATTGTTGACTAAATTGACATGTATCATGATAATTATGATATCATGTATTATAATTCAAAATGTTTCTACCACGTTTGAATCACCTATTAAAACATTTTTCATTAGTTTTATGGAGGCGCTCGCTCTCCTGTTGCTTGCCTCCGTTTATATGTGATGCCACACAGTCAGCCAACAAAGCACATTCCTTTAATTAATAGCATAGTGGGAACATGCAGAGAGCAAACCACAGGCTCAGCCCCCATGGGGCCAAATGTATTTCAGCAGCCACTATTACGTTGAAGCATGTTGGAAGACTTCTCACTAAAATGTCTAACTGCTGTGGCAGCAAAGAGTTTGATACATGGATCAACATCTGTTGCATAAGATGCCTCATTGTTGACAGGCCTCAGTGGTATTTCAATGGTATTGTCAAAATCAGCGTGCTTCATTCCTTCGCTAAGACCTCTTGTCTTTTCTCGCCACTCTTATGTCTTGATATGTTCCTTTGGGGTCTCCCTCACTCACGCACTTTCCCTTTGCCTCCAGGGTTCAAATTACAGGGGTGCTAGTCACTCCTATAACAAATCAAGCCACCCCCATTAGCATTTAAGATGTCAACATGGGCAGTAGGGAACCCCCCATAAGCATTAAACATTTTAACTTTGCTCCAGACCACTATTGAAAATGTATCCCCCAGAGTCAGTGTGTGACTGGAGCCCTGATGGTCTGTCTGTGTGGTTGTTTCAGTGGGAGGTTGTCCAGAGGAGTCTCAACGGCTCCCAGTTCTATACCTACTCTGTGTGTAACGTGGGCGAGCGTGAGCAGGACAACTGGCTTCGCACCACCTTCATCCAGCGCCGCCCGTCGGCCTCTCGCGTCTTCGTGGAGCTGCAGTTCATCGTGCGTGACTGCAACTCGTTTGACAGCTCATCGCTTACCTGCAAGGAGACCTTCAACCTGTTCTCCTCTGAGTCGGACGCTGACATCGGCACCAGCTTCCGAAAGGGCCAGTTCAAGAAGGTGGCAACCATCGCACCCGACGAGATCACCAGCCGCAACGAGTTGCACATCAACACAGAGACGCGGGTGGTGGAGAGCCTCAGCAGGAAAGGCTTCTACCTGGCCTTCCAGGACATTGGGGCCTGTGTGGCGTTGCTCTCTGTCAGGGTCTACTACAAGACCTGCCCGGCCACCGTCAAAAGCCTGGCAGCCTTCCCCGAGACAGTGGCGGGCGGTGGGGAGAACCAGGCCCTGAGGGAGGTGGCAGGGGCCTGCATAGAGAATGCGGTGAGCGAGGAGCCCCCCCGCATCTACTGCACTGTGGACGGAGAGTGGGTGGTGCCCGTCGGACAGTGCCAATGCAGTGCCGGCTACGAGGCCGTCAACGGCACATGCCGAGGTAAGGTGTATGTTCCTTTGTTCTATTGGCTCACTGATATCTGGCGGTCTGAGAGTCTATTCACTCTAGCATCATGTACTCTAATGCTGTGTATGTATGTGTGTGTGTGTGTGTGCTTTTGAGTGTGAGCTGGCGTGAATAGAGTCTGCATTGAGATATTTCGCAGATGGTTTTTGAGTTCAGTTTTTTTTTTTTTGTGTTTGCTATAAACATGCAAATATTAAAAAGGCTTGGGGCAATTCCACAGTAACGGAATGATGAGCAGATGCAAAGTTTGGTAACAGAATGATGGTTTGTGCTGTTTGTTCCGTCATTCTGTTACCAAACTTGGCATTTGCGCTGTTCTTCAAGTAAATGTGTTTTTTGTAAAATTTTCTGTGGAAATTGTTAAAAGTAGTCCTTTGTTTTTGTTTGACATACATTTTAAAGTGGAAAATCTGAGTCTCGGCATCATTCCATGACTGTGAAATAGACCCCTGGTTATTAATCATAGTGTTAATTTATTATTGTGTTGGAATTATCCCCTGGGGTAATGTGACTCCTCTGAAATGGAAGGAATGAACACTCCTGCTTTTACATGTCACTACATCATCCCTGACCTTGAACCAAATTTACAAATGTGGTAAGAGTTTTATAGCAAAATTCAGCTACTCTTAGGTCATGTACTATATGTGTGAGAACTGTTTGATTGATAAAATGTAGCAATATAAAAGTAATTTAAAAATACTTTTAAGTCAGCCATTTCCCTCTTAACTGAAAAGTATTAGTGAGGTCCCCCACTCTTGTTGCAAGACATTTTTATCAGGACCTTTGGCTCTTGTAAGCTAGTATCCTGCTAATTTGTCATTCATTCATTCTCTTAAATACTCATACGTAGTCTTACCTGGGCTTTGTAGTCAATGTTGCTACCATGTTGCATTCAAGTCCTCATCAGAGGCCCTCTAGTCTACATCTCCTCAGTCCTGCCAAAATGACAGACGTTGCTCAAAGACTGGAGGTTCAGAAGTCACTCTGAAACTGTACTGGTGGTGAATTTACTTCTTCAAGGCAGGAGGAGGAGGAGGAGAGAAAGCGCTTCTGGTTATCATTTCAATTCAATTTCAGTACTCTGGCTTTCTTCATTACATGCATCAGAGAAATTGGCATTCCTTAAGTCATTGGGCACTCCCCCCCATGGCTTTATTGGCATGGGAAACATATGTTAACATTGCCAAAGCAAGTGAAGTAGATAGTAAACAAAAGTGAAATAAATATTAACAGTAAACATTAGTCAGAAGTTCCAAAAGAATAAAGACATTTCAAATGTCATTTTATGTATATATATAGTGTTGTAACAATGTGCAAATAGTTCAAGTACAAATGGGAAAATAAATGAACATAAATATGGGTTGTATTTACAATGGTGTTTGTTCTTCACTGGTTGCCCTTTTCTTGTGGCAACAGGTCACAAATCTTGCTGCTGTGATGGCACACTGTGGTTTTTCACCCAGTAGATAAGGGAGTTTATCAAAATTGGGTTTGTTTTCGAATTCTTTGGATCACTGTAATCTGAGGGAAATATTTGTCTCTAATATGGTTATACATTTGGCAGGAGTTTAGGAAGTGCAGCTCAGTTTCCACCTCATTTTGTGGGCAGTGTGCACATAGCCTGTCTTCTCTTGAGAGCCAGGTCTGCCTATGGCGGCCTTTCTCAATAGCAAGGCTATGCTCACTGAGTCTGTACATAGTCAAAGCTTTCCTTAAGTTTGGGTCAGTCACAGTGGTCAGGTATTCTGCCACTGTGTACTCTCTTTTTAGGGCCAAATAGCATTCTAGTTTTTTTGTTAATTCTTTCCAATGTGTCAAGTAATTATCTTTTTGTTTTCTCATGATTTGGTTGGGTCTAATTGTGTTGTTGTTGTTGTCCTGGGGCTCTGTGGGGTCTGTTTGTGTTTGTGAACAGAGCCCCAGGGACTCTTCTCCAAGTTAATCTCTCTGTAGGTGATGGCTTTGTTATGGAAGGTTTTGGAATCGCTTCCTTTTAAGTGGTTATAGAATTTAACAGCTCTTTTCTGGAATTTGATCATTAGCGGGTATCGGCCTAATTCTGCTCTGCATGCATTATTTAGTGTTTTTCGTTGTACACTGAGGATATTTTTGCAGAATTCTGCATGCAGAGTCTCAATTTGGTGTTTGTCCCATTTTGTGAATTCTTGGTTGGTGAGCGGACCCCAGACCTCACAACCATAAAGGGCAAAGGGTTCTATAACCGATTCAAGTATTTTTAGCCAGATCCTAATTGGTATGTCAAATTTTATGTTCCTTTTAATGGCATAGAAGGCCCTTCTTGCCTTGTCTCAGATCGTTCACAGCTTTGTGGAAGTTACCTGTGGCGCTGATGTTTAGGACGAGGTATGTATCGTTTTTTGTGTGCTCTAGGGTAACTGTGTCTAGATGGAATTTGTATTTGTGGTCCTGGCAACTGGACCTTTTTTGGAACACCATTATTTTTATCTTACTGAGATTTACTGTCAGGGCCCATGTCCAGCATGACTTCAGCATTCTCTCTCACTCTCTCATATCTGCTGTAAGAGACTAGGTTTCACCATGTGAGTGTTTTGTGTGGGACTGCAGCAGGGTGAGAGAGAGAGAGCGTGTTGGCATGCTCAGGCCTGTTAGGAGCTGTTCCATGATGGAGCACCACAAAACTCCCATAACCTGAACATTAAGCATGTTGCTGCACCACTGACTTTGGAACACACACACACAATCTGTTTCCCCTCCATTGGTAATTAACGTGTGTGTGTGTGTGTGTGTGTGTGTGTGTGTGTGTGTGTGTGATTAAAAAGTGAGGAATGGAATGTAAAGGTAGGAGAACAATGAGGGGCAGTGTTGACCTGTAGGCACTGGCTCCTCTCACCCTCCCCTTCCCATTCTCCACTGCATTCCTCTTCCATTTACTCCCAGATTACTGCAGGTCTGAGGAATTCCCTAGGGAGAACTCCCGGGCTGCGTCCCAAATGGAACCCTATTCCCTATATAGTGCACTACTTTTGACCACAGCCCTATACATAGGGAATATAATGCCATTTGGGGCGTACCCCTGCTCCCACCTTACATGAAAATGGTTTGAGGCTGAAGACCGGTTGAATACAGAAAGCTACAGTGTAAGGTGAAGGTGAATGAGCTTGGCATTATGAGTGGAAACACACAGATGAAACTGTGCATACAGTACATCAGACACGCATGCGCACGCACACGCATACACACACACACACACCCTCTTCCCCCATGCAGTGTGTTCCAGTTGACTCACTGTTGACATTGACAGTTTTCTTCCTTAAAGTGTAGGTAGCATAAACGTAACCACATGTAACATGGATTAGCATTAGAATACGCATCAAAAGTCCCAATGCAAAGTTACACCTCACTTTTCTATTTTTCGAGTTATAATATACAACTGATCAGAATTCCGAAGAATGCTGAAGTCATGCTGGAAAAAACATTTGCGTGGTGTGATGTAATATGGAGGACCCGGCAAGCCAGCCTATTCCCTATAATGTAAACTCCAACAGAAATAACTTCAAATAAACAAATTGTTTGCATTCATGACTACTGGTTTCAATTACATTTTCAGCCAACTTACAAGCTACTACTTTATGAATGTATTGTTACAAATCAGCTTGCAAGGTTGCTAGCCAACTAGTCTGCTAACGTTAGGCCTACCAGCCTGCTAACATTACGTTAGCACTACGTGAGTCAGCCAGTTGCTATCAACACCTAGCTTACAGCGATATTAAAGTAAACCAACGTTTTTCGAAATGCATGACGCCATCTAATCAATTATCAAATAATGTTACCGATATATGCCGTTATCTTAGCTAGCAAGCCAGTCAGCTAAAGTTTTGTTATTTTAGCCTGCTAGCTAGCCTAGCCAGCTAACTAGCCTAGCTAGCCAACCACCACGTTCGACATAGCTACAGTTGAAGTCGGAAGTTTACATACATACTTAGGTTGGAGTCATTAAAACTTGTTTTTCAACCACTCCACAAATTTCTTGTTAACAAACTATAGTTTTGGCAAGTCGGTTAGGACATCTACTTTGTGCAAGACACAAGTAATTTTTCCAACAATTGTTTACAGACAGATTATTTCACTTATAATTCACTGTATCACAATTCCACTGGGTCAGAAGTTTACATACAGTAAGTTGACTGTGCCTTTAAACAGCTTGGAAAATTCCAGAAAATGATGTCATGGCTTTAGAAGCTTCTGATAGGCTAATTGACATCATTTGTGTCAATTGGCGGTGTACCTGTGGATGTATTTCAAGGCCTACCTTCAAACTCAGTGCCTCTTTGCTTGACATCATGGGAAAATCAAAAGAAATCAGCCAAGACCTCGGAAAAACAATTGTAGACCTCCACAAGTCTGGTTCATCTGGGAGCAATTTCCAAATGCCTGAAGGTACCACGTTCATCTGTACAAACAATAGTATGCAAGTATAAACACCATGGGACCACGCAGCGTCATACCGCTCAGGAAGGAGACGCGTTCTGTCTCCTAGAGATGAATGTACTTTGGTGTGAAAAGTGCAAATCAATCCCAGAACAACAGCAAAGGACCTTGTGAAGATGCTGGAGGAAACAGGTACACAAGTATCTACAGTGAGGGAAAAAAGTATTTGATCCCCTGCTGATTTTGTATGTTTGCCTGCTGAGAAAGACATGATCAGTCTATCATTTTAATGGTAGGTTTATTTGAACAGTGAGAGACAGAATAACAACAAAAAAATCCAGAAAAACACATGTCAAAAATGTTATAAATTGATTTGCATTTTAATGAGGGAAATAATTATCTGACCCCTCTGCAAAACATTACTTCGTACTTGGTGGCAAAACCCTTGTTGGCAATCACAGAGGTCAGACGTTTCTTGTAGTTGGCCACCAGGTTTACACACATCTCAGAAGGGATTTTGTCCCACTAACCTTTGCAGATCTTCTCCAAGTCATTAAGGTTTCGAGGCTGACGTTTGGCAACTCGAACCTTCAGCTCCCTCCATAGATTTTCTATGGGATTAAGGTCTGGAGACTGGCTAGGCCACTCCAGGACCTTAATCTGCTTCTTCTTGAACCACTCCTTTGTTGCCTTGGCCGTGTGTTTTGGGTCATTGTCATGCTGGAATAATCATCCACGACCCATTTTCAATGCCCTGGCTGACGGTACATGGCCCCGTCCATCGTCCCTTTGATGCGGTGAAGTTGTCCTGTCCCCTTAGCAGAAAAACACCCCCAAAGCATAATGTTTCCACCTCCATGTTTGACGGTGGGGATGGTGTTCTTGGGGTCATAGGCAACATTCCTCCTCCTCCAAACACGGCTAGTTGAGTTGATGCCAAAGAGCTCGATTTTGGTCTCATCTGACCACAACACTTTCACCCAGTTCTCCTCTGAATCATTCAGATGTTCATTGGCAAACTTCAGATGGCCCTGTATATGTGCTTTCTTGAGCAGGGGGACCTTGCGGGCGCTGCAGGATTTCAGTCCTTCACGGCGTAGTGTGTTACCAATTGTTTTCTTGGTGACTATGGTCCCAGCTGCCTTGAGATCATTGACAAGATCCTCCCGTGTAGTTCTGGGCTGATTCCTCACCGTTCTCATGATCATTGCAACTCCACGAGGTGAGATCTTGCATGGAGCCCCAGGCCGAGGGAGATTGACAGGTCTTTTGTGTTTCTTCCATTTGCGAATAATCGCACCAACTGTTGTCACCTTCTCACCAAGCTGCTTGGCGATGGTCTTGTAGCCCATTCCAGCCTTGTGTAGGTCTACAATCTTGTCCCTGACATCCTTGGAGAGCTCTTTGGTCTTGGCCATGGTGGAGAGTTTGGAATCTGATTGATTGATTGCTTCTGTGGACAGGTGTCTTTTATACAGGTAACAAGCTGAGATTAGGAGCACTCCCTTTAAGAGTGTGCTCCTAATCTCAGCTCGTTACCTGTATAAAAGACACCTGGGAGCCAGAAATCTTTCTGATTGAGAGGGGGTCAAATACTTATTTCCCTCATTAAAATGCAAATCAATTTATAATATTTTTGACATGCGTTTTTCTGGATTGTTTTTGTTGTTATTTTGTCTCTCACTGTTCAAATAAACCTACCATTTAAAATTATAGACTGATCATTTCTTTGTCAGTGGGCAAACGTACAAAATCAGCAGGGGATCAAATACTTTTTTCCCTCACTGTATATCCACAGTAAAACGAGTCCTATATTGACATAACCTGAAAGGCCGCTCAGCAAGGAAGAAGCCACTTCTCCAAAACCGCCATAAAAAAGCCAGACTACGGTTTGCAACTGCACATGGGGACAAAGATTGTACTTTTTGGAGAAATGTCCTCTGATTTGATTAAACAAAAATAGAACTGTTTGGCCATAATGACCAATGTTATGTTTGGAGGAAAAAGGGGGTTATTGCAAGCTGAAGAACACCATCCCAACCGTGAAGCACGGGGGTGACAGCATCATTCTGTGGGGTTGCTTTGCTGCAGGATGGACTGGTGCACTTCACAAAATAGATCGCATCATGAGGAAGGAAAATTATGTGGATATATTGAAGCAACACCTCAAGACATCAGTCAGGAAGTTAAAGCTTGGTAGCAAATGGGTCTTCCAAATGGACAATGACCCCAAGCATACTTCCAAAGTTGTGGCAAAATGGCTTAAGGACAACAAAGTCAAGGTATTGGAGTGGCCATCACAAAGCCCTGACCTCAATCCTATAGAAAATGTGTGGGCAGAACTGAAAAAGCGTGTGCGAGCAAGGAGGCCTACAAACCTGACTCGTTACACCAGCTCTTTCAGGAGGAATGGGCCAAAATTCACCCAACTTATTGTTGGAAGCTTGTGGAAGGCTACCCTTAACATTTGACCCAAGTTAAATAATTTAAAGGCAATGCTACCAAATACTATTTGAGTGTATGTAAACTTCTGACCCACTGGGAATGTGATGAAAGAAATAAAAGCTGAAATAAATAATTCTCTCTACTATTACTCTGACATTTCACATTCTTAAAATAAAGTGGTGATCCTAACTGACCTAAGAAATTGAATATTTACTAGGATTAAATGTCAGGAATTGTGAAAAACTGAGTTTAAATGTATTTGGCTAAGGTGTATGTAAACTTCCGACTTCAACTGTAAGTAGTAAACCAGAGAACAACTAGTCTAGCACAGTCAGGAACCCACAGAACAGAACAACAAAAATAGCCAGCAGATATAGAGTAGAGAGAGCGGAGACTTACCAATTGACAGCTAAATTAGCTACCAAAGTTAAAGAAGAGCCAATGAGAGGACTTCAGATGGAGAGGCCGTTTCACCGGCCAAGGGAGAGTCAGCTAATCCAATAGCGATATAGTGAAGTAAATCCACATTGTATTTACCCGGTTTATCTCCATCTCTGCAGACACTCACGATGTACAAGTAGGTCGGTAGGAAATAGAGGTTGCAGGCTTCACATTCACGCTTGGCACAGCACCTGGTTTCAGTCAGTCTCATTTCAAATCCTGACTTCCACTGGTTATACTAAGCCATCGAAGTCCTCGGGTGAAATGAGCACCGCATACAGTAGACGTGCGCACGGTTTCCCGTACTCCAATCTGCTCGCTTCAACCAGACAAACCGGTCCTACTTCATAGCTAGCTTCTAATTTCTGGGCCACAAATGAGTCGTAACTCCGTCCTTGTGGATATTATGGCAATATGTGGGAATTCCTGCGCTAGCTACGAACGACGGAAAACTACTACAATGCTCGCTTGACTACCACTACTAAACGCACAGGAGAAGAGGAGATTCTTTGCATGAAGGTATATGGTTTCTTCTTCGTAGATGTACATAGTACCTCACCACCACCAACACTAGTAGCTAACGTTAGCCAGCTGGAACTAGCTAGGTATCACCGGTTCTCCATTTGACGTTGAGAAAGAGTGCATTGTGGGTAGTTCCGAAGATATCTGGAAATAAGTTAATAAATATGTACGCTGAACAGAAATAAACGCAACATGCAACAATTCATATAAGGACATCAGTCAATTGAAATTAGGCCCTAATATATGGATTTCACATGACAGGGAATACAGATATGCATCTGTCACAGATACCTTTAAAAAAAAAAGTCAGTATCTGGTGTGGCCATCATTTGCGTCATGCAGCCCGACACATCTTCTTCGCATAGAGTTGATCAGGCTGTTTATTGTGGGATGTTGTCCCACTCCTCTTCAATGGCTTTGTGAAGTTGCTGGGTATTGTCAGGAACTAGAACACGCTGTCGTACACGTCGATCCAGAGCATCCCAAACATGCTCAGTGGGTGACCTGTCTGGTGAGTATGCAGGCCATGGAAGAACTGGGACGTTTTCAGCTTCCAGGAATTGTGTACAGATCCTTGCGAAATGGGGCCATGCATTATCATGCTGAAACATGAGGTGATGGCGGCGGATGAATGCAAGACAATGGGCCTCAGGATCACTTCACGGTGGTATCTCTCTGCATACAAATGGCCTTCGATAAAATGCAATTGTGTTTGTTGTCCGTAGCTTATGCCTGCCCATACCATAACCCCTCTGCCACCATGGGGCACTCTGTTCACAATGTTGACATCAGCAAACCACTTTCCCACACAACGCCATCTGCCCGGTACAGTTAAAACTGGGATTCATCCATGAAGAGCACACTTGTCTAGCGTGCCAGTGGCCATCGAAGGTGAGCATTTGCCCACTAAAGTCGGTTACGACGCCAAACTGCAGTCAGGTCAACACCCTGGTGAGGACGACGAGCACGCAGATGAGCTTCCCTGAGATGGTTCCTGACAGTTTTTGCAGAAATTCTTCTGTTGTGCAAACCCACAGTTTCATCAGCTGGTCTCAAACGATCCCGCAGGTGAAGAAGCCGGATGTGGAGGTCCTGGGCTGGTGTGGTTACACCTGGTCAGCAGTTGTGAGGCCAACCGGCCTCACATACTGCCAAATTCTTTAAAATGACATTGGAGGTGGCATATGGTAGTGAAATTAACATTAAATTATCTGGCAACAGCTCTGATGGACATTCCTGCAGTCAGCATGCCAATTGCACACTCCCTCAAAACTTGAGACATCTGTGGCATTGTGTTGTGTGCCAAACCTTTTTTTTTTTTTAGCTCATGAAACATGGGGCCAGTATAGTTATAGGTAACCAGATCGTGACTACAACTAAGTTACTAAGTCTTTGACCACACTGTGTTGTTACATTGGTGAGTAAAAACTCATGCTTCCTACCTTTTTAAGAATTTCTTTCCTTACACATAATCTTTGCTGGCACAAAGGAACACAAACCTTGTGTTACCACACAAAGACACACATTTGACCTGGCTGCTCCTTGGATTGTGTCAAGCTGTCCGTGCCCACACCCTGTCACCCACATTAAAACCATATGCACACTCATCCCAGAGCTGGGCAAATATGGCTTAGGACCAACTCGATCTGTGTTCCAAATGGCATCCTATTCCCTATGTAGCACACTACTTTTGACCAGGGCCATTTGAGACGCACACTCAGTATCTAAAATGCTTGTGTTCACACATGCAGTCTGAATGTTGAATGTTGTTGGGCTCTTTTTTTTAACAATATGGTCTGTGGGAATAATCCTGATGGAACCAGTAAATTAGTTCTGGTAAGGTTATTTTCTCCCAAAGGAGGATTTCCCTTTTCCAGTAATCTAGGCCTAGTTTTCCTCCCCCCTAAACTGATGTCGGTGACTAAGTTGAAGCTGCATGACTGTGCCTGCCGTGTGGCGAGTGACTTTATGGATAGTAATTGACTTGGGTGTGTGTGTGCTTTATGTGCAGTAACTACTGGTTCTGCCTGCGTCTTTGTCTACCTGCCCCCATATTTATTTTGCTCTTTCTCTCTAATTGTTTTTCTTCTTTCTCTCCCCCTCATTCTTTCCTTCTCTCTCTCTCTCTCCCCCGCTCTCTCTACCCCCCCCCCCCCCCCCCCCCCTCTTTTCCAATCTCCATTTTGCAACTCTCCTGTAAGTTTTATGATCAAAAGTAACATTATTACTGAGTTTTCCCTCGTGTAACCAGCTACAAAAATACGTTTTTCTACTGCTCTTTGGATGATGGATGATGAAGATATTATTATGGTTGGCCAGTGTGCATGTCCTGAATGTGACACCAATTGAATCGCAACATCCCGTTTCACACGACCCAGATGTGACTATTTAGACTTTGTGCTGTTCTGTGTACGCAAGTAAATAAAACAAGTATTTTTGCTTATTTGACTGTCTCCAAAAAAGATAAACAGACGCTACATTTGAACAGTATCCCTGATCTGTGTACCGTAGTTTGGTGGGGATACACATACTGTACATCACAGGAGGCATCATAATAATGGCCGGAACGGAGCAAATGTAATGGCATCAAACACCTGGAAACCATGTGCTTGATGTATTTGATACCATTCCGCTCCAGTCATTAACATGAGCCCGTTCTCCCCAAATAAGGTGCCACCAACCTCCTGTGCTGTACATGCAGCAAAAACAGTTGCCATTCTTTACATATTGGCCAAGAAACATCAGAATTCTGTCCAGATAAAATGTCAACTGAAATGTAAACACTTTTTAATGTTCTGAATATGTCTACTGGGATCACAGCATTGATATGACACAGGCGATCGTGAATACGTGACAAAAAGACAGGATTCACCCCAGTTTACTCCCTAGAGAGTGATTATGAAGAGTTGAAGAGCAGAACAATTGTTATTTTGGTGCAGCATTCTATCAGCAGTGCAGTCTGGTGCTGGAGCCAACTTGTTGATCGTAATCAGAAAGAAACATCTCTGGGACTGGTTTGTGACGTTTCGTTCCTTATCAGTGTTACATACACTATTTGCCCCTCCTTGGGATCCATAGCTTAAGAGGAGTCATCGTTATGGATACTGTGGATTTACCGGATTTACTTGTTAATAGTCAAATAAATCCTCATTAAGGACTATTTTTGGACTTTCAGCAGATGCTCATGTCAGTCTTTCTTTCTTACCCTTTGGAAATGGGGAGGTTTCGGGAGATTGACTGTGATTGCATTGAATTTGTTTCTGTGATCTTGTGCCAAGTTGATGTCGACCTCTCAAACTGAGGTTCAGATAGTGGGCTAGATAATGGAGGGACTCTGAGTGAATTGCCTCGGCAGTGTCATGCGCTATCATGGTGAAGCTCCATTTGGAGTAAATGTAGGACCCATTATTATTCCCCCCAAAATTCTAGCGATGATAGGAAACGGCGTAGTGGCCAATATTGATCTAAATTGTGGATTTGTTTCACCGATGCAACTGTATTAGTGCTTTGGAATTGATGCCGCAAGTTTAGCCTTTGCTTTTAAATTCATTCAATAGACCTATAAGTTGTGTCTAATCCTATTGCTTTTAGGATCCAGCGGTACAGTTAAAGGGGCAATCAGCAGTTGAAACAATAACAAAGCGTACTCCCCGCCCCTGTTTTGGTAAAAGTGGAGGGATGGGGCTAGAAAGATGTAACTAATCTCAAATTCATAGACCAAGCTATGGATGCAAGGACTGATCTTCCATGATATGAAATGTATAGTTTTAACCATGTTTTGAGGCTATATAGTATTTGTTTAAATGTACTTTGTTTACAAACATTGGAATAAAACAATGTTTTGGGTTCTGATGAGGTACAACAGCTGGAAAGGGGATACCTAGCCAGTTACACAACTGAATGCATTCAACCAAAATGTGTTTAACCCAACCCATCTGAATCAGAGATGTGTGGGGCTGCCTTAATCGACATCCACGTCATCGGCATTCACGTCATCTAAGCTCATGAGGCATTTATACTTTTATAGTCTTCAATGGGGACATATCATTAATTTATAAGTCCAAAAATGGATGTAGCATTTTACATTTTAGTCATTTAGCAGACGCTCTTATCCAGAGCGACTTACAGTTAGTGAGTGCATACATTTTCATACTGGCCCCCTGTGGGAATCGAACCCAAAACCCTGGTGTTGCAAACGCCATGCTCTACCAACTGAGCTACACGGGACTTTACATAGATAAAAGTCTGTGTGTGTGTATGTGTATACTCCGTACTCACTATGTGTATACTCTGTACTCACACAGCAACTGCAGATTGCCCCATTTTAATCTATCTTTCATAAGTTAATGAGAGGTTAGTGTTAGAAACTCATAGGCAGTACATAATATGGCATAATAGCATTGGCTAGTCATGAGAATGCGTAAACATAGCTCTTTCCTGTGCAGATGTAGGCCATAGATTGATATAGGCCTACTTTTTGGTATGGCTGACAGTACAACAGTAGAGTAACTTAAAAGGCAACTCTGCCACTTAACATTTGGGTTGTTATTATGAAGTATTTAGTGATGTCCTACATAGTTTTAGTGTTCTTTTATGATTTTATGTCTATTACTGTTTTTAGTGATGAGCAAAACAGGAAATTGCTTCTGACATTTTCAAGTAGGATCCCTGAGATGATTAATAAAATAAATTATGGACCGGCATTTTCAGCGATCTATATAACCCATCTGTAGTTTTCATATTGAACTCCCTGCTACAGTGCATTTGGAAAGTATTCAGACCCCTTGACTTTTTCCACATTTTGTTATGTTACAGCCTTATTCTAAAATTGATGAAATGGTTATTTTCCCTCATCAGTCTACACACAATACCCCATAATGACAAAGCAAAAACAGGTTTTAAGATTTGTTTTGCAAATATATATATATATATATATATATATATATATATATATATCTATATATATATATATATATATATATATATATATATATATATATATATATATATATAGTATATATATATATATATATATATATACATACTCATATCACATTTACATAAGTATTCAGACCCTTTACTCAGTAAAGCACCTTTGGCAGCGATTACAGCCTCAAGTCTTCTTGGGTATGACGCTACAACCTTGGAACACCTGTATTTGGGGAGTTTCTCCCATTCTTCTCTGCAGATCCTCTCAAGCTCTGTCAGGTTGGATGGGGAGTGTTGCTGCACAGTTATTTTCAGGTCTCTCCAGAGATGTTCGATCGGGTTCAAGTCCGGGCTCTGGCTGGGCCACTCAAGGACATTCAGAGACTTGTCCCGAAGCCACTCCTGCGTTGTCTTGGCTGTGTGCTTAGGGTCGTTGTCCTGTTGGAAGGTGAACCTTCGCCCCAGTCTGAGGTCCTGAGCGCTCTGGAGCAGGTTTTCATCAAGGATCGCTCAGTACTTTGCTCCGTTCATCTTTCCCTCGATCCTGACTAGTCTCCCAGTCCCTGCCGCTGAAAAACATCCCCACAGCATGCTTCACCGTAGGGATAGTGCCAGGTTTCCTCTAGACGTGACGCTTGGCATTCAGGCCAAAGCGTTCAATCTTGGTTTCATCAGACCAGAGAATCTTGTTTCTCATGGTCTGAGAGTCTTTAGGTGCCTTTTGGCAAACTCCAAGCGGGCTGTCATGTGCCTTTTACTAAGGAGTGGCTTCCGTCTGGCCACTCTACCATAAAGGCCTGATTGGTGGAGTGCTGCAGAGATGGTTGTCCTTCTGCAATGTTCTGCCATCTCCACAGAGGAACTCTGGAGCTCTGTCAGAGTGACCATCGGGTTCTTGGTAACCTCCCTGACCAAGGCCCTTGTCCCCCGATTGCTCAGTTTGGCCGGGCGGCCAGCTCTAGGAAAGAGTCTTGGTGGTTCCAAACTTCTTCCATTTAAGAATAATGGAGGCCACTGTGTTCTTGGGGACCTTCAATGCTGCAGAAATGTTTTGGTACACTTCCCAGATCTGTGCCTCGACACGATCCTGTCTTGGAGCTCTACGGAGAATTTATTTGACCTCATGGCTTGGTTTTTGCTCTGACATGTACTGTCAACTGTGGGACCTTATATAGACAGGTGTGTGCCTTTCCAAATCATGTCCAATCAATTGAATTTACCACATGTGGACTCCAATCAAGTTGTAGAAACATCTCAAGGATGATCAACGGAAACAGGATGCACCTGAGCACAATTTCGAGTCTCATAGCAAAGGGTCTGAATACTTAATGTAAATAAGGTATTTCTGATTTTTATTTTTAATACATTTGCAAACATTTCTAAACCTGATTTCGCTTTGTCATTATGGGGTATTGTGTGTGTAAATTGCGGAAAAAAATAATACTTAATCAATTTTAGAATAAGGCTGTAAAGTAACAAAATGTGGAAAAGGTCAAGGGGTCTGAATACTTTCCCAAGGCACTGTAAGTGATGTTCTTGGTCCCAATCAATTAACACAAGCCTTTGCAGCCCGATAAACTGAACATGATGAGTACCTCATATCTTTTCACACTGTTTTTATAAGAACTCAAATTCGCTTGTTTTCGCTTTGTCATTATGGGGTATTGTGTGTAAATTGAGGAAAATGTTTTATTTATTCCAGGCCGTAACGTAACAAAATGTGGAAAAAGGGAAGGGGTCTGAGTACTTTCTGAAAGCACTGTATATGTTGCTCTGGTTGTCTTCCTCTAAAAACATCTGTAAAAAATATTTTAAATAGACACTCAAAAACCTATAGAATGATATTTGTAGTCGGGTTATTCCAATATTTTTCTGTTGTTCAAGCTCCCATGATTACATTCTGCAAAACCACTCCCACCATCACCGATGAAGTTGCAGCTCCAGCAGCCATTGCTCCCTTTCCAAATAGCCTACAGTGAGGGAAAAAATATTTGATCCCCTGCTGATTTTGTACGTTTACCCACTGACAAAGAAATGATCCGTCTATAATTTTAATGGTAGGTTTATTTGAACAGTGAGAGACAGAATAACAACAAAACAATCCAGAAAAACGCATGTCAAAAATGTTATAAATTGATTTGCATTTTAATGAGGGAAATAAGTATTTGACCCCCTCTCAATCAGAAAGATTTCTGGCTCCCAGGTGTCTTTTATACAGGTAATGAGCTGAGATTAGGAGCACACTCTTAAAGGGAGTGCTCCTAATCTCAGTTTGTTACCTGTATAAAAGACACCTGTCCACAGAAGCAATCAATCAATCAGATTCCAAATTCTCCACCATGGCCAAGACCAAAGAGATCTCCAAGGATGTCAGGGACAAGATTGTAGACCTACACAAGGCTGGAATGGGCTACAAGACCATCGCCAAGCAGCTTGGTGAGAAGGTGACAACAGTTGGTGCGATTATTCGCAAATGGAAGAAACACAAAAGAACTGTCAATCTCCCTCGGCCTGGGGCTCCATGCAAGATCTCACCTTGTGGAGTTGCAATGATCATGAGAATGTTGAGGAATCAGCCCAGAACTACACAGGAGGATCTTGTCAATGATCTCAAGGCAGCTGGGACCATAGTCACCAAGAAAACAATTGGTAACACACTACGCCGTGAAGGACTGAAATCCTGCAGCGCCCGCAAGGTCCCCCTGCTCAAGAAAGCACATATACAGGGCCATCTGAAGTTTGCCAATGAACATCTGAATGATTCAGAGGAGAACTGGGTGAAAGTGTTGTGGTCAGATGAGACCAAAATGGAGCTCTTTGGCATCAAATCAACTCGCCGTGTTTGGAGGAGGAGGAATGCTGCCTATGACCCCAAGAACACCATCCCCACCGTCAAACATGGAGGTGGAAACATTATGCTTTGGGGGTGTTTTTCTGCTAAGGGGACAGGACAACTTCACCGCATCAAAGGGACGATGGACGGGGCCATGTACCGTCAAATCTTGGGTGAGAACCTCCTTCCCTCAGCCAGGGCATTGAAAATGGGTCGTGGATGGGTATTCCAGCATGACAATGACCCAAAACACACGGCCAAGGCAACAAAGGAGTGGCTCAAGAAGAAGCACATTAAGGTCCTGGAGAGGCCTAGCCAGTCTCCAGACCTTAATCCCATAGAAAATCTGTGGAGGGAGCTGAAGGTTCGAGTTGCCAAACGTCATGCCTCGAAACCTTAATGACTTGGAGAATATCTGCAAAGAGGAGTGGGACAAAATCCCTCCTGAGATGTGTGCAATCCTGGTTGCCAACTACAAGAAACGTCTGACCTCTGTGATTGCCAACAAGGGTTTTGCCACCAAGTACTAAGTCATGTTTTGCAGAGGGGACAATTACTTATTTCCCTCATTAAAATGCAAATCAATTTATAACATTTTTGACATGCGTTTTTCAGGATTTTGTTTTGTTGTTATTCTGTCTCTCACTGTTCACATAAACCTACCATTAAAATGATAGATTATGATCATGTCTTTGTCAGTGGGCAAACATACAAAATCAGCAGGGGATCAAATACTTTTTTCCCTCACTGTATATTTTCATAGTGAATTACTTATAAATGTTTTACTTTTTATTAGTTCCAATAGGCCTACAGTGTTGTTACTAAGGCTGTTATTGTTGAACACTTTTTTTCTTTTTCAGATGCAGCAGGGTTAGCTACTTAGCTAGCTAGCATTGCTAATGTTAGCACCAAAGATACAGGCTTCAACCATGAAAGACTAGGATTCCGTAGTGATTTGCCTGTACATTTCATAATAAATGTTGAGTTCTAACAGGCCTGCATGTTGTTTAAAACAGTCGCTAATATTAAACTTGGCTGTTATTGTTGCAAACACTATTTCGGATGTAGCACAAGCGTGCTAGCTAACCATCAGATACACTAACTTATGGTTAGCATCTCAATTATAATTTATTTTTGAGTTTATTTTTGTGACAATGACATTAAGACATATTCATGCAAGCATTATATGGTTACAACCCAAAAGTAATGTGAAATGCACTCATAATTTATGACATAAGCTTTGTCTACGCTTGCTAGCCATAAGCTAACTGCAGACTGGGTGGGAGCATTGCATCCTGAGAGGTGAAATGCACTCTGGGAATTGGCGTATACTCTAGACGACGGCAATGCAGATGCTTAAAAAATGACAAACGAGGTATCGTGCAGTATGACTAACAAAAACGATAACACATAAATGTGTATCAAATCTTACAGTAGTGCATACATATACCAACAGCATAATAACTGGTTATAAAGTGGTGGAATTGACCTTTTAAACAAAACTAAACACAGAACAATAAACATTTGGTGTCTCAGTGTTGAATTTGTATAATTTGTCCCATTATTCTACCAGTATCCAGCCATACAAGTACTCCCAGGTGCCACGTAGCTCCATTTCCAGGGCATGTTTTGGGTGCATATTTCCTCTGTATGGCATTCCTGTGCAAAGTGGTGGTGGTGGTGGTGGTGGGGCCGTGGAGATTTGTGTATTGTGCTGCTGGTGTGTGAGTCGTCGTCCCCCCCCCCCGGACAGGACGGGCTCCAGCGGAAACCGGACGCCACCTAATCCGCAGCCACTCTCCAACCCGTTGGCTTAGGGCTTTCCATTGTTGCCCCGCAGTCACTCCTTTTTCGCCCCACCGATTAAGTAATTTTGTTTATTGCTTCATTTGGCCTCTTTTAACAGGAAGCAGACACGTTGTTGGAATCCAGCGTGCACTGCCACCTGGATGTCTTGCCTGGACTTTAAGGAAAGACAAAGGAAGTGTGTCCTAGATGACCATGGTGGCTGTTGTTGGGTAGTGTAGTCGAAGGACAGGTCACGGGTTAGACCTCTGTTGGTTTGTGTGATGGTTGTTTAATGGCATGGCTGCTTTCTTCCTGTTTGTACCTCTCTCTCTCTCTCCCATTTTCACTCCTCCCTGTTGTCTGTGAGCAGCATGAGGGAAGAGGAGTGTGAAGAGAAAGGGATTAGGGAATGTATTGTGTTTGTTAACAACCAGATGAAAGCCTAAGTGGAATTGTAAAACAGATGTAATTCCCTTACAGCTGCTCCATCGGTCAGCTAATCCTTTTGACTAATGTTCCCCCACACCTTAACCCGCACAACCCACACCTTGACCCCCTCCGCCCCCCTCCTCTGTCTCTGTGACCCCCCTGGCTTCATGTTACTACTACACCTCCCCCATCAGAGAGACACATTGTTCTACTCAACTACCCCTCAACCACCCCCTAATACATCAATGAGAAGTTGTCCTGCTCATGCAAACACAGCATTAGTGGCACCACATGTAGAAATGGGAGCCAAAAATGCATTTTAGTCAATAAGCAGACACTCTTAAGGTGTCCGCATGCTTCTCATCCGAAACAGTTTGGAACAGTTTGTGCATATATTATGATGACATTTTGTACCGTTTTGGCTTTCGGCAAGGTTTTTTTAGGCTGTTTGTACACATAAAAAATATTCTCGAGGCAAGCCGAAGTTCGGAAGCTGAAGGAAGCCCCTTCGTCGGTGATTGGTTAACAGTAGGGTTTCTTTAATGAAGTGTTGTTGTCGTTCAACGATAGATGACGCGTTTTCACGTGCACATTTTTCACTTGAGAAATACTGCACCTAACATCTTAGTTAAATGTAGAATTGCGCGACAGATCTCCTCTGTAAAAATGTATGCCTGACTTCTTGAGTTCTTTTAGATTAATTCGGACTATTTTGAGGAAGTGTATACTGGCTATGGCGTCTCAAGATGGACAAAGTACTATTGCCTGTCTTTTAAGGGTGTATGCGAGACACTCGTTCGGTTCGCCTAGCCAAGTTCAGTTAGGCGCCAGCCGACCCGAAGCATGCGGAAGCCTTTATCCAGAGCGAGTTAAAATAGGTGCATTCAACCAAGGTATATGAAACTACCGCCTAGCTTTATCTTGGCCAGGTCACAGTTGTAAATGAGAACTTGTTCTCAACTGGCTTACCTGGTTAAATAAAGGTGAAATAAAAATTAAAAATTAAAAAAATATCACAAACACTTCAAGTAAAACCTCCTTCAAAATAGCCAATACCAGCAAAATCTGACAGATGAGCAAGAAGTGGTTGTTGGGTAGGAGTGCAGACTTTACCCTGGATATCTACCATGAGTCATGATAATGATCTCTTTCTTTTCTGGAGGTTTCTTTTTCTACCCCCCCCCCCCCCCCCCCCCCTCGTTTCCCCTCTCTCACGCCTTCCCTCCCCCTCTCTCTCATTCACTCACTCCTGTGTTTGTTTTAGTTGGCTATTGACTCCCTGTAGTTGAGGACAGTTTAACTCACTACTACCCTAAGGCAGACATGACCCTCATGCTTTAAAAGCTAAGGAGCCCAGGACTTGAATTGTTTTTTTCTTCTTCTCTAGAGCACCCCCACTTAACTCAAGTCCTTGGGGATTTCTGTTGTCCAGCCACAGAGTACCCATTCAATCATCCATCGGTCCGTGCATTCATCACTGTCTCCTTCTCCATCCATCTTAACTCCGGCTGACAAACCGGCCCACTCAGCCCACTCCCAGAATCCACCAGGTCCCGTCAGCCACTCACTATAAATAAACGACCAGGCTCTTTAGGCACAGGACCTCTCAAATGACAAACAGGGCCTACCTCCCAGGGGACCCCGAAGGGCAAAAAAAGGAGACCTTCTCACTTAGGTTTCTCAGCGGTCTGGCTCTTAAAGAGCTTAACAGACTTTTATTTACTTGAGAAATGCACCAGGTTTTTACTCCCAGTTCTGTTCTCTTTGAAAACAACAATGCAGCTTTCTCCCCTATTCTTTCCCTGGACTCTATCTGTGGCTGTGACCATGTTCTCTCGCATGCTTTGATTGGCTGCTGGATAAAGGAAGCTCAGCGTCAGCCTCATGCTTCCTGCTTCCTGTTGTGTTCAGCAAAGATGAAGCCCCCTCCTCCCCTCTCTCTCTGGAACATTCCTTTACCCTTCTTCAGTTTCTATTCTTCCTAAAAAAGAAATCAGCAACTGGTGGTCACGGTCTCCTGGTGATCATGTTCATTGGTTTCATTTCCTGTGATGAAAGGCAGTAAATGGAAATTAACCTGAAATATATGGCCACTAGGCCCACAGGCCACCCGTTGGGTGGTGTATTCTAGAATGCGTGTGGATTACAGTCTCCCTCTTAGTGTATTTGTATTTATTAAAGATCCCAATTAGCTGTTGCCAAGGCAGCAGCTACTCTTCCTGGGGTACAGCAACATTAAGGCAGTTATATACAATTTAAAATATTACATGACATTACATTTCATAACACTTTACACAATACATTAAGTGTGTTCCATCTGGCCACTACTCTACTACCAGATATCTACAATACAAAATCCATGTGTACGTGTGTGTAGAGTGCGTGACTTATGTGTGTCTGTGCCTGTGTGTCTCTTCACAGTCCCCGCTTTTCCATAAGGTGTATTTTTATCGTTGGGATTCTACTGCTTGCATCAGTTACCTGATGTGGAATATAGTTCCATGTACTACGTGTCTCCCATAGTCTGTTCTTGACTTAGGGATTGTGAAGAGACCTTTGGTGGCATGTCTTGTTGGGTATGCATGGTTGTCTGAGCTGTGTGCTAGTAGTTTAAACAGACACCTCAGTGCATTCAGCATGTCAACACTTCTTACAAAAACAAGTAGTGATGATGTCATTCTCTCCTCCACTTTGAGCCATGAGAGATTTACATGCTCTCCTGTGACATTGCTGTAAGGCCATCTCACCGCAGCCCTGACCAGACGCATCGCAGCCGTTCTCATTCCCCCACCACTGCCACCACTGCTGCCGCGCAGAAAGAGCCTATTCAGTTGCTATGTGGCATTTCTAGTATTTACAACAAATGTTGTTTTTTATGGCGTGGCATTCTTCTGCCTGCTGGTTGCTGGTGAAAGGAGATGCTAATGGGTTAGCTGGGAGCCTTTGGTGAGGCTTGAAGCCTACCAGATGAGCAAAATCACTTCTATGCTCGCTTCGAGGCAAGCAACACTGAAGCATGCATGAGAGCATCAGCTGTTCTGGATGACTGTGATCACGCTCTCCATAGCTGATGTGAGTAAGACTTTTAAGCAGGTCAACATTCAGAAGGCTGCAGGGCCAGGTGGATTACCAGGACTGATCCTGGACTTCCTGACGGGCAGGTGGTAAGGGTAGGTAACAACACATCTGCCATGCTGATCCTCAACACGGGGGCCCCTCAGGGGTGCGTGCTCAGTCCCCTCCTGTACTCCCTGTTCACCCATGACTGCGGGGACTAAGCACGCACCCCTGAGGGGACCCCGTGTTGAGGATCAGCATGGCAGATGTGTTGTTACCTACCCTTACCACCTGAGGGCGGCCCGTCAGGAAGTCCAGGATCCAGTTGCAGAGGGAGGTGTTTAGTCCCAGGGTCCTTAGCTTAGTGATGAGCTTTGAGGGCACTATGGTGTTGAATGCTGAGCTGTGGTCAATGAATAGCATTCTCACGTAGGTGTTCCTCTTGTCCAGGTGGGAAAGGGCAGTGTGGAGTGCAATAGAGATTGCATCATCTGTGGATCTGTTGGGGCGGTATGCAAATTGGAGTGGGTCTAGACATGTTCGCCATGTCCTACTGCCGACAAATGGCAACTGGAACTTGTAGGCCTCAATGAGACAAAAGACGAATGGAGCGAAGGGAATGTCTCATAGTCACTTGAGTAAATACCCTTGGAATAAATTAAATGTGGGCGATTTCTTTCAGGCGAGTGTGAGGTTACTTGCGGGTTCCAAGTAAACTTCAGCAAAGGTGCAACTGAACAAAGCTGATATTTCTCTGAGAATAGAAATCGGTTTCCTTCTTGACTTGCCCCTGGTGTTGCCTTTTGAATGCAGACACTGGAACCATATATCATTGATTCTTTACATATTTAAAGCAATGAAGTCAACCTAGGAAAAGAGAGCTGGCTGAGGAAAGTATGCTATTTGAGATCATTGGGACACAGCCCCATATCGCAGGGCCTGGAAATAGAAGAACCAAAGCAAGCTGTGTGTGTGATCAGGGGAAACCGGTGAATAGAACAGTAATCCTTCCTATGAAGTCAGATTTGCTCGCTGTGTGTGTGTGATCATGTAAGGGGATAGAGCACGGACATGACCAGAAGCCATTGGAATGTTTTTGGAGCATTTAAGGGCGGCGTTCTCATTTTCACTTTCCTCCATGAGACCCTCTGAGAGATTTCACGCCATCTTACTCGGATTCCAACTACTGTTGGTGCACAGCTTGAGCCTACCTGTATCTCTCCCAGTCTATTCTCCCATGTGTGAAATTAGCAGACATCTTATCTAAGCGATAAGGTTTCATATTTGCACAGGGGTCTTTTTAAAAGATGGCTGAAGTATGCACGTAATGGTTCCACTTAGAGACTTTTATAGTGCGCTACTTTTGACCAGAGTTCATAGGGCTCTGGTCAAAAGCAGTATGCACTATATAAGGAATAAAGTACCATTTGGGATACACACTGTTTTTCTTGCCATTTCTTAACTAGTTCCTAATGAAAGTCTCCCCTGTGTGTGTTGTGTTTTCAGAGTGTCAGCCAGGCTTCTTCAAAGCCTTCGTGTCCAGCGACGCGTGCAAGCTGTGTCCTGCTAACACCCAGCTGCTGGCCTCCGGGGCGCTGCTCTGCCCATGTGCAGAAGGCTTCTACCGCGCTCACGACGACCCGGCTACAGGGCCTTGCTCAGGTTAGGAGGAGGAGGAAAAATGACTTTAGTGTGCACTGTCAGCATTGGTGGATCCTACACTGACAACGAATGACTTTTTATTGCGCTCAAAGTGCTCTCTTAACCAAAATAATGACACTAAAAAGAAAATAATATTAGAATGACCATAAGCAAGAGAAAATCACATAATGCTACAGTGGTTAACATAATGATGACATTAATCATACGTCATGAACTAACATACTATGCCTCCATTTTCCTGCCCCTGTTTCCTTAGGCCTGCCCTCAGCGCCGCGAGAACTGGTCGCCATGACCACCCAGCTGGCCGCGGGCAAGCTGCAGCTGTCATGGAGTCCGCCTGAGGACACGGGCGGCCGCAGTGACATCACCTACAGTGTGGAGTGCAGATGCTGTGAGGGCGTCGCGTGCCAGCCGTGCGGGGAGAAGGTGCGCCTCGAGCCGGCGAGCTTTGGCCTGACGCACACCTGGGTGGCGGTGAGTGAGCTGGAGCCCCACCTTAACTACACGTTCACTGTGGAAGCCCACAGCGGAGTGTCGCTGTTCGCCAGCCAGGGGGCACCGCGCTCCAACAGGCCCCCGTCCACAAGCACATTGACCACTGCCCTGCACTACACAGGTGGGTCACCATCAGTGTTGGGATTCGTTATGTGTTACATTCTACACAAAGTAATACTGTAAAGTAAATGTAACGTGTTATATTACTTTGCGTTACTTTTATGAATCCAGGTGAAAGCTATGATCCCTTATTGTTGTCACGTGTTAAATCCACTTCAATCAGTGTAGATGAAGGGGAGACAGGTTAATGAAGGATTTTTAAGTCTTGAGACAATCGTGCCATTCAGAGGGTGAATGGGCAAGACTAAAGATTTAAGTGCCTTTGAATGGGGTATTGTAGTAGATGCCAGGCGCAGCGGTTTGAGTGTGTCAAGAACTGCAACGCTACTGTGTTTTTCACGCTCAAGAGTTTCATGTGTCGATCAAGAATGGTCCATCACCCAAAGGACATCCAACCAACTTGACACAACTGTGATAAGCATTGGAGTCAACATGGGCCAGCATCCCTGTGGAACGCTTTCGACAGTAGAGTTCATGCCCTGACGGATTAAGGCTGTTTTGAGGGCAAAAGGGGGTGCAACTCAATATTAGGAAGGTGTTCCTAATGTTTTGTACACTCGGTGTATACTGTAAGCAAAACATCTGTACAGATTTCCTATCTTTTCATTCAAAATCTTTCTCTCGAGCCGCCAGTTCTGTTTATAGACGCACGTACACGGACCCATAGAGATGTATAGAGGGCACACTTGCCACTAGATGGGAAAGCCCTCTATGGGCAAAGATCAGAGATGCGTCCTCAATACATTTCTATGGAGAACAGCTGTCATGCCATTACTCAAAACAGCCTTTCTCCGCTCGCTCGAGAACTAAATGAGGAAACAAGACAAGGTCGGATCATGGGTTTTGACAAAGTAACTGTAATAATATTACCCAATTTGGAAAAAGTGACACGTTACTTTACTCTGTTACTCATGAAGTAATCTGATTACGTAATGTGTTACTTTTGTAACACATTACCCTCAACACTGGTCACCGTACTTAGGAGTAATGATAGTAGAAGTAGCAGAAACCTTTTATTATGCATGATCAAATGGGATCTGAAATGTAGTTATATGGCTTCTCATACAAGCATGATCACTAAATACTCTCACACATATTTCAAAAGCTCATGGTTGGTTGAACCTGTGAAGGCTATTGCACAAAGTCTCTGTATTGTTGACATCTCCCCTCCTTCCTCCTCCTTAGACCCCCCCAAGGTGACGTCCATGCGTCTGGACGAGCGAAGCCCCACCAGCCTTTCCCTGTCCTGGGCTGTAGCCCCCCGCAGGCCCCTGCCCCGGCCCACCCGCTACGAACTCAGCTACCGCAAGAAGGTACAATACCACCCACGCCACCACTAGCGGGTGACATTTTTTGATACATAATGACTTAAAAATTGAATGTTGTGATAGTGCACGAAGGAAAGAAAGAGTAAGAGAAAGAATGAGAGGGGTTTCATGGATGATAAACGCCACATAGGGGTAGCAATATCGCATAACAAAACCGTGTACCTTATTATTATTATTATTATTATTATTATTATTATTATTATTATAATAATAATGAGTCCTTACTGAAAGTGTATCAACATGACTTATCTCATCTTTCAATCCCCCCCCCCCCCCCCCCCCCCCAACTCTTCCAGGATGACAATCTGGATGTGACCACGTACACTGTTCTGATTCTGGAGAAGAGCTCTGTGCAGATCAGTGACTTGTCCCCAGGCACAGCCTACCTATTCAGGGTAAAGGCCCTGAGCCCCGAGGGCAGCCCTGGAGAATCCATAGAGGATGAATTTGAGACCCTGCCTGATGGTAAGGATGACGGCCAAATATGAAGTTAATAAGAAGGGAGAATGATAGGATGCTATTTTAGATGATTGGGACACAGCCCCATACTACAAGGCCTCGAAATGAAAGAACCAGTGTGTGTGTGTGTGTGTTTCTTTTTGTGTCGGTGTGTTTTTTTGTGTCAGTGTGTTACCACTGTGTCTCAGGGTTTGTTGTTGATGTGCCACAGTGCCCCAGACCAACACGGCGGTCATCTTCGGAGCGGCGGTTGGCGGAGCGGCCATGTTGTTCATCGTGGTGGTCGTCCTCTTCGTACACAAACGGTCAGCAACAACCTCCTTTTCCCCCCTCTGCCCCTCGCCCTTTGCTTCTCGCCCCTTTTGTTAAGCACGTTCATAACACTCACCCCTTCGCTGGTTTCCTTTCTCGTTCTTTTTTTATTTTGCCAATTCTCCAAATGGCCTTTCCTCCTTTCCTTTCAGCCACCTCTCTCTCCCCTCTTCCTTTTCCTAGTCTCACTCTCTCTGTATCTGTTTTCCAGCACTCACTAGGGGAGAATTGGCATTGAGTGCAGCTTGTCATTGCTCAATGAGTATACTCTAACAAGTAGTGGCTTTGAATGGAAGCGGGCCCAAGTGGCACATTGTTTTGGAATAAGAGGTGGTCGGCTCTTCTTGTGGCATACTGTAGCAGCTCCTTCAGCACAGCAGCACACCGCCGTCTGTCCGTTGATCCGTCCATCTGTCTTTTGACACGGCTTAGGAAACACAGACAGGCTCCAGTCTTTATCAAAGCTTTCCCTCAGTGAATCGAGGCGGCACACACCAATGACTAGGCTTCTTTTGAAACTAATTGGATTTTGGAGCAAGATTATGATAATTACTTCATTTTCTGTTATTCAGGAGAAGGAACTCCCATACAAGACAAGGACCAGAAGATACCTACTTCTCTAGCTCAGGTAGACAAAATAAAAGAAGTACCCCGCTCTCTCTTCATGTATTTTTATTGTTCTTTCACTAATGCCCAATTATTCGCATTCTTATCCAGAGCAACTGAAGCCGCTAAAGACCTACGTAGATCCGCACACGTACGAGGACCCCAACACGGCCATCCTCAAGTTTGCCAGCGAGATCCAACCCAGCCACGTGACCAAGCAGAAAGTCATTGGAGCTGGTGAGTTCAGAGCTAAATTAAAACAATGTGCTTAAGGGCTAAGGATGAAGGTGTTGACAGGTTTTTCCATCTCATAAGTCCCTCTTTATTCATTTTTTTGTTGCGTTAGTGCTACAGCTTAAGCTCTTGAATGACCGTGGGTAGACCATCCAGATCAGTGGGTAGACCATCCAGATCAGTGGGTAGACCATCCAGATCAGTGGGTAGACCATCCAGATCAGTGGGTAGACCATCCAGATCAGTGGGTAGACCATCCAGATTAGTATTGATGGATTTTGTCCTCGCCTTGCATGTTTAGACATAATTCAGTCTATAATTGTAATGGTAGGTTTATTTGAACAGTGAGAGACAGAATAACAACAAAAAAATCCAGAAAAATGCATGTCAAAAATGTTATAAATTGATTTGCATTTTAATGAGGGAAATAAGTATTTGACCCCTCTGCAAAACATGACTTAGTACTTGGTGGCAAAACCCTTGTTGGCAATCACAGAGGTCAGATGTTTCTTGTAGTTGGCTACCAGGTTTGCACACATCTCAGGAGGGATTTTGTCCCACTCCTCTTTGCAGATCTTCTCCAAGTCATTAAGGTTTCGAGGCTGATGTTTGGCAACTCGAACCTTCAGCTCCCTCCACAGATTTTCTATGGGATTAAGGTCTGGCTAGGCCACTCCAGGACATTTAATGTGCTTCTTCTTGAGCCACTCCTTTGTTGCCTTGGCCATGTGTTTTGGGTCATTGTCATGCTGGAATACCCATCCACGACCCATTTTCAATGCCCTGGCTGAGGGAAGGAGGTTCTCACCCAAGATTTGACGGTACATGGCCCCGTCCATCGTCCCTTTGATGCGGTGAAGTTGTCCTGTCCCCTTAGCAGAAAAACACCCCCAAAGCATAATGTTTCCACCTCCATGTTTGACGGTGGGGATGGTGTTCTTGGGGTCATAGGCAGCATTCCTCCTCCTCCAAACACGGCGAGTTGAGTTGATGCCAAAGAGCTCCATTTTGGTCTCATCTGACCACAACACTTTCACCCAGTTCTCCACTGAATCATTCAGATGTTCATTGGCAAACTTCAGACGGGCCTGTATATGTGCTTTCTTGAGCAGGGGGACCTTGCGGGCGCTGCAGGATTTCAGTCCTTCACGGCGTAGTGTGTTACCAATTGTTTTCTTGGTGACTATGGTCCCAGCTGCCTTGAGATCATTGACAAGATCCTCCCGTGTAGTTCTGGGCTGATTCCTCACCGTTCTCATGATCATTGCAACTCCACAAGGTGATATCTCGCATGGAGCCCCAGGTCGAGGGAGATTGACAGTTCTTTTGTGTTTCTTCCATTTGCGAATAATCGCACCAACTGTTGTCACCTTCTCACCAAGTTGCTTGGCGATGGTCTTGTAGCCCATTCCAGCCTTGTGTAGGTCTACAATCTTGTCCCTGACATCCTTGGAGAGCTCTTTGGTCTTGGCCATGGCGGAGAGTTTGGAATCTGATTGATTGCTTCTGTGGACTGGTGTTTTTTATACAGGTAACAAGCTGAGATTAGGAGCACTCCCTTTAAGAGTGTGCTCCTAATCTCAGCTCGTTACCCGTATAAAAGACACCTGGGAGCCAGACATCTTTCTGATTGAGAGAGGGTCAAATACTTATTTCCCTCATTTAAAATGCAAATCAATTTATTACATTTTTGACATGCGTTTTTCTGGATTTTTTTGTTGTTATTCTGTCTCTCACTGTTCAAATAAATCTACCATTAAAATTATAGACTGATCATTTCTTTGTCAGTGGGCAAACGTACAAAATCAGCAGGGGATCAAATACTTTTTTCCCTCACTGTATGTACAGTGGGGGAAAAAAAGTATTTAATTCAGCCACCAATTGTGCAAGTTCTCCCACTTAAAAAGATGAGGCCTGGAATTTTCATCATAGGTACACGTTAACTATGACAGACAAATTGAGAAAAAAAATCCAGAAAATCACATTGTAGGATTTTTAATGAATTTATTTGCAAATTATGGTGGAAAATAAGTATTTGGTCACCTACAAACAAGCAAGATTTCTGGCTCTCACAGACCTGTAACTTCTTCTTTAAGAGGCTCCTCTGTCCTCCACTCGTTACCTGTATTAATGGCACCTGTTTGAACTTGTTATCAGTATAAAAGACTTCCATCAGCAAGGGCATTGAAGATTAAACGTGGCTGGGTCTTTCAGCATGACAATGATCCCAAACACACCGCCCAGGCAACGAAGGAGTGGCTTCGTAAGAAGCATTTCAAGGTCCTGGAGTGGCCTAGCCAATCTCCAGATCTCAACCCCATAGAAAATCTTTGGAGGGAGTTGAAAGTCCGTGTTGCCCAGCGACAGCCCCAAAACATCACTGCTCTAAAGGAGATCAGCATGGAGGAATGGGCCAAAATACCAGCAACAGTGTGTGAAAACCTTGTGAAGACTTACAGAAAACGTTTGACCTGTGTCATTGCCAACAAAGGGTATATGAGAAACTTTTGCTATTGACCAAATACTTATTTTCCACCATAATTTGCAAATAAATTCATTAAAAATCCTACAATGTGATTTTCTGGATTATTTTTTCTCATTTTGTCTGTCATAGTTGACGTGTACCTATGATGAAAATTACAGGCCTCTCTCATCTTTTTAAGTAGGAGAACTTGCACAATTGGTGGCTGACTAAATACTTTTTTTCCCCACTGTATGTATATAAAAATATTAGTTTTGTTGTAAATTTTGCTAGCTAACAAGGTAGAACAGTTGAATTGGTATTGATTGAACACACCCTTCTTTCCGTCTCCAACTGTTTGAAGAGCATGCTAGCCTGTTCACTTTGTTCAGATATTGGAATCAGGTGGCCTACCTTATTTCTCAGAACGTGAACGAGTTGCCAATTCCTTATATAACTGTGTTTTTATGCTTATTTTACATTTATAAAACACAGACTAGACATCTAGTATAAGTCTTTGGCTAAAATGCTGGTAGCGGTACGTGATACTGCAATGCCACGTGCGACAAACTGATCTTCCAGAGTCATTGTTCAGTGATACTCCTGTTTTAGTAGTGTCTGCTCTGCGCGCAATTTGAGGAGTTGAGACACAGAAAAGGGTATCGTTGGAAAGGTTAACTTCTCCTCTATTACAGTAAAATAATGTGTCTGTGTGTTTCAGTGTCCATATGACTGATTCTGTTGGACCAAACCTTAAATGCAAATAGTGAGTTGAAACCGCTTGTCAGAGAGGATGAAGTGATCTCTCATCTTTGTTGTTGTGAGTGGCAGGGGGATGGGCTTTGTGTGTGTGTGTGTGTGTGTGTGTGTGTGTGTGTGTGTGTAAATGGAAGGTACACAGAAAGAGCGAAGGAGATGAGACCAAAAAGACAACATGAGAACAAGCGGACATAAACGCTAAAAGAAAAATAAAAAAAATAAGGGATTCTTGCGATACAGGCATTTGGAATATTGCACAAAAACATACATTTTGAATTAATTGAATTATTTTGATATCGCCCAACCCTAACTACAAGCCACAACCATATAAAGGATAATGCTTGAAATATTGCCCAATCTTGTCTTTGGGTTTTAAAACTGTTTTCTTCTGCGCCTCTAGGGGAGTTTGGAGAGGTGTTTCGCGGTATTCTGAAAGCGCCGGGGCGGAAGGAGGGGGCGGTGGCCATTAAGACGCTGAAGCCGGGCTACTCGGAGAAGCAGAGGCAGGACTTCCTTTCAGAGGCGAGCATCATGGGACAGTTCTCCCACCAGAACATTATTCGCCTGGAGGGAGTCGTCACCAAATGTAAGAAGGTTCTGTTAGTCTACTGGGCGCTACCTGTACCAAGAACAGAATGCTCCTGTCAAACATTCACTTACCTGGTCTATATATATATAAATTATATTCCATATGTATACATTTCTTGCCTGTTTTGGGTAGTAGTTAACAGTATTTATTCCCTTTTTTTGATTCCAGTCAAGCATGCCATGATTGTGACTGAGTATATGGAGAATGGAGCACTGGACAAGTACCTAAAGGTGAGTACAGTACATCGTATGCAATTTACCTATATACAGTGGGGGAAAAAAGTATTTAGTCAGCCACCAATTGTGCAAGTTCTCCCACTTAAAAAGATGAGAGAGGCCTGTAATTTTCATCATAGGTACATGTCAACTATGACAGACAAAATGAGAAAAAAAAATCCAGAAAATCACATTGTAGAATTTTTAATGAATTTATTTGCAAATTATGGTGGAAAATAAGTATTTGGTCACCTACAAACAAGCAAGATTTCTGGCTCTCACAGACCTGTAACTTCTTCTTTAAGAGGCTCCTCTGTCCTCCACTCGTTACCTGTATTAATGGCACCTGTTTGAACTTGTTATCAGTATAAAAGACACCTGTCCACAACCTCAAACAGTCACACTCCAAACTCCACTATGGCCAAGACCAAAGAGCTGTTAAAGGAAGACCAAAGAGCTGTTAAAGGACACCAGAAACAAAATTGTAGACCTGCACCAGGCTGGGAAGACTGAATCTGCAATAGGTAAGCAGCTTGGTTTGAAGAAATCAACTGTGGGAGCAATTATTAGGAAATGGAAGACATACTGATAATCTCCCTCGATCTGGGGCTCCACGCAAGATCTCACCCCGTGGGGTCAAAATGATCACAAGAACGGTGAGCAAAAATCCCAGAACCACACGGGGGGACCTAGTGAATGACCTGCAGAGAGCTGGGACCAAAGTAACAAAGCCTACCATCAGTAACACACTACGTGTCCCCCTGCTTAAGCCAGTACATGTCCAGGCCCGTCTGAAGTTTGCTAGAGTGCATTTGGATGATCCAGAAGAGGATTGGGAGAATGTCATATGGTCAGATGAAACCGTTGTGTTTGGAGGACAAAGAATGTTGAGTTGCATCCAAAGAACACCATACCTACTGTGAAGCATGGGGGTGGAAACATCATGCTTTGGGGCTGTTTTTCTGCAAAGGGACCAGGACGACTGATCCGTGTAAAGGAAAGAATGAATGGGGCCATGTATCGTGAGATTTTGAGTGAAAACCTCCTTCCATCAGCAAGGGCATTGAAGATGAAACGTGGCTGGGTCTTTCAGCATGACAATGATCCCAAATACACCGCCCGGGCAACGAAGGAGTGGCTTCGTAAGTATCATTTCAAGGTCCTGGAGTGGCCTAGCCAGTCTCCAGATCTCAACCCCATAGAAAATCTTTGGAGGGAGTTGAAAGTCTGTGTTGCCCAGCGACAGCCCAAAGCATGATGTTTCCACCCCCATGCTTCACAGTAGGTATGGTGTTCTTTGGATGCAACTCAGCATTCTTTGTCCTCCAAACACGACAAGTTGAGTTTTTACTAAAAAGTTATATTTTGGTTTCATCTGACCATATGACATTCTCCCAATCCTCTTCTGGATCATCCAAATGCACTCTAGCAAACTTCAGACGGGCCTGGACATGTACTGGCTTAAGCAGGGGGACACGTCTTGCACTGCAGGATTTGAGTCCCTGGCGGCGTAGTGTGTTACTGATGGTAGGCTTTGTTACTTTGGTCCCAGCTCTCTGCAGGTCATTCACTAGGTCCCCCCGTGTGGTTCTGGGATTTTTGCTCACCGTTCTTGTGATCATTTTGACCCCACGGGGTGAGATCTTGCGTGGAGCCCCAGATCGAGGGAGATTATCAGTGGTCTTGTATGTCTTCCATTTCCTAATAATTGCTCCCACAGTTGATTTCTTCAAACCAAGCTGCTTACCTATTGCAGATTCAGTCTTCCCAGCCTGGTGCAGGTCTACAATGTTGTTTCTGGTGTCCTTTGACAGCTCTTTGGTCTTGGCCATAGTGGAGTTTGGAGTGTGACTGTTTGAGGTTGTGGACAGGTGTCTTTTATACTGATAACAAGTTCAAACAGGTGCCATTAATACAGGTAACGAGTGGAGGACAGAGGAGCCTCTTAAAGAAGAAGTTACAGGTCTGTGAGAGCCAGAAATCTTGCTTGTTTGTAGGTGACCAAATACTTATTTTCCACCATAATTTGCAAATAAATTCATAAAAAATCCTACAATGTGATTTTCTGGATTTTTTTCCTCATTTTGACTGTCATAGTTGACGTGTACCTATGATGAAAATTACAGGCCTCTCTCATCTTTTTAAGTGGGAGAACTTGCACAATTGGTGGCTGACTAAATACTTTTTTTCCCCACTGTATAACAAAGTATTGAGAAACTTTTGTTATTGACCAAATACTTATTTTCCACCATAATTTGCAAATAAATTCATTAAAAATCCTACAATGTGATTTTCTGGATTTTGTTTTCTCATTTTGTCTGTCATAGTTGACGTGTACCTATAATGAAAATTACAGGCCTCTCTCATATTTTTAAGTGGGAGAACTTGCACAATTGGTGGCTGACTAAATACTTTTTTCCCCCACTGTAAGTGAAGGACAATACGTTGCCACTGAGTTACCACAGAAACTTGACATTATGTCTCTCTAACAGTATGTGTGTGCAACCATGTGTTTCCCCCCTCAGGATCATGATGGCGAGTTGCCCTCCTTCCAGCTGGTGGGCATGATGCGTGGCATCGCCGCAGGCATGAAGTATCTTTCCGACATGAGCTACGTTCACCGGGATCTGGCTGCCCGCAACATCCTGGTCAACAACAACCTGGAATGTAAGGTGTCTGACTTCGGCCTGTCCCGAGTGCTGGAGGACGACCCTGAGGGCACCTACACCACCAGCGTGAGTTAACATTGGACGTTAGAACGGTTGCTTTACTTAGCTCTTGCTTACACATTTGCCTTGTAAACACTGTATTTCAGTGTAAACTGCTCACAGAGGACTGTAATTGAATCAAATGTAATTGAACTGAACAAAACAATGTATTTTTTGGGCTCTGACCTGAGTGTTGTCCACTTGTTTCCCCTCCAACAGGGTGGTAAGATCCCCATCCGCTGGACAGCCCCAGAGGCCATTGCCTACAGGAAGTTCACCTCGGCCAGCGACGTGTGGAGCTTCGGCATTGTCATGTGGGAGGTCATGGCCTTTGGCGAGCGGCCCTACTGGGACATGAGCAACTGCGAGGTACGCTACAATGCTAATGCTAACCAGGGGTTGGAACCGGTTCAGGGAACAGAACAGAAAACTGGAAAATAACAAACATTTTCAAGGAACGGAAACGAAAGTGATCCATACAGAACCATTATTTTTAACGCATGTGAACCGGTTAATAACTTTCTTTAACATTCCAGGAATTTTGTTCTAGTCCAACAAAAAATGCAACAAAGTGCCTATGCAAAGCCCTCACTCTGTCACTCAGAAACTTATTCCAGTGTCTACCTGCAATCTGAAATCCTTGCCAGTGTGTGTGAGTGTTTAGGCTACCTGCCCTCCCACCTCCGAAGCATAGGCTACTGTACTGACATTACAAGCGTGATTCAGAAGATCGGAGAGAGATTTAACTTTTTCAAAGCTAGTTAAGGATACTATAGGCCCAGGTATCACGTTTCACATTGGATTTATTACGTACAAAAAGGTAAGACATGTTTTTAGTTCTGGTGCCGCTCTGCACACACAAGCTTGTTAGCTAGCTAGCTCAAAGGACATTCAAAATTCCTCCATAGAAGCTGCTCCTCCTAGGTATAATTCTGTGGACCTAATTCAGATAATGCGTGTCATAACAAGATGCCCAGCGCTTCAAGCCTCCTCAACCCTCTCTCGCTCTCTCCCCACCTGCAACATTTCAGTCGTATCTTGCACCATAGGCTACACTTGTCTGTCCATCACACATGTAAACAACTAGCTTGCCTGCTCCATCTGCACTGATTGGTGAAGTAATTTAATGAGCTAAATGTAAAAAACTGATTTCACAGGTTAAAAAAACCCCAGAAAGGAAAAAATAGTGGTTCTGTTCAGAACGAAAAGATTGTAAAATAATTACCGTAACATCTCAGTGAACCTAAGTTCAAGTCTGAGATCTCAAAGTGACCTCTAGCCTCTGATTGTCAGGTGATGAAGGCCATCAACGAGGCGTTCAGACTGCCGGCGCCCATGGACTGTCCATCAGCCGTCTACCAGCTCATGTTGCAGTGCTGGCTGCAGGACCGCTCCAAGAGGCCCCGTTTCCCGGACATCGTCAGCCTGCTGGACAAGCTGCTCAGGAGCCCTGAGTCCCTGAAGGCCATTGCCGACTTCGACCCTCAGTAAGAGTCCTTTACTCTCTAGAAGGGAATTACACAGCAAAGTGGATCCATGAAACAGTAAAACAGAGTGGAGCGCAAGAAAAAGGCTGATTCTTGTTAAATTCTTGGTAGGATAGTGTGGCAGCATAATGTGTGTCTGTCTGTACATGTTTTAAACACATTTACATTTTAGTCATTTAGCGACTTACAGGAGCAATTAGGGTTAAATGCCTTGCTCAAGGGCACATCGACATATCTTTCACCTCAGGGATTCGAACCAGCGACCTTTCTGTTTTTGGCCCAACGCTATTAACCGCTAGGCTACCTGCAGCCCCACAAAAGACAAAGAGCTGTCAGGTTCCTTCCTTAATCAGTTTCTCCATAGCTGCACCAACAGGTTTTTATCTCACTGTTTCCTCGCAGGGTAATTACAGCCTTTTCTCAGTCTTTGTCCTGATTGTCAGGCAGCTGTTGATGATTATTGCTCACTCTTCTCTACTTTCCCTACTCCAGCGTATCCATCCGCCTGCCCAGCACCAGTGGTTCGGACGGCTCACCCTTCAGGTCGGTGTCCGAGTGGCTGGAGTCCATCAAGATGAGCCAGTACAGCGAGAACTTTACCTGCGCCGGAGTGTTCACCATGGACCAGGTGCTGCAGATGAAGAACGAGTGAGTAGCGTTTTTTAAAGCGTTTATTTTTATTTTGGGGGGACATTGTCTGTCACTAGATGAGATGATGTTCATCATTAAAAATATCTAATATCTGAGAAACTATTGATTGCAAATAATCTAAGATTGGTTGAGAGTATAGGAATAGAATAGTACATATATATGTATAGAATATCTGCACAATGGACATCTGGTTCCCAAGCTAAGCCCTTTCTTAGTTTTCCAAACCATGTTATGGATGTGACTTCTGCAGAGTATTTTGGGTTTTTGTTTTTGATTAAAAGTCACTTTCATAAGCCAGAGAACAGTTTACGCACAATATAAACTCTGGCCTCTCTACAACTCGAGAAAACAAGTGAGATGGAAAAAATTATGGAGCGAGAGAAAGACCAGGCTCATTTGTGGTGGCCTGGTGGTGGTTGGTGGCTTGTGGTTTGCCCCCTCCCCTCTCTTCCTCCCTCTGTCCTTATTACAATTATCTCTCATCCCTCCTTCGCCCACACCAGCAGCCCAGGGCAGCACTTCTGCATCAGCCTGAACCCGCTGGGCCAGGCTGTGTAGGGCAAAGGCCCTCCTGACCTATGCAACATAAAAGGAAAGGAAAGGAGGAGAAGAAGAGCGAACAGCCACTAGAGTAGAGGGGCAATGTGGAGATAAGGAAAATGAAGGCAAATGTAGCATAGAACAGTTGTGGATGAGGAGAGGACTTTAGGGCAACACTCACCCCGAAAAGATACTCTGACGAAGGCACTGTCCCGAAATATCATATCAGTCTTTCAATAATGTACCGACAAGGCTTTCCTCTTAAGCCTTAAAATGAGCGCTGTGTGGAAACAGGGGAAACATCTTTGAAGTGTTCCCTGGTGAGATTTTACGGTCCCATACACTCGACCTAACCAGGAACTATTTACGACACTCCCTCTGCTCACCAGACAAGTGATTGATGGGCGAGATGGAAAATCCTCATTAACTAATTAAGAATGTAATTAAACCTGGTAATGAGTGACTTAGATGTGGGACACCTTTCCCAGATTCTGGCACGTGTGAGGGGATTGCCCCAAGTTTGCCCTTTCTTGAAAATGTGAAATTGTCCTTCCGTCCTCCCAGCTAGTCCCTAGAGGTTATTCTCGATAGGTTACTAGCTTTGCTTTCACTTACCTCATTCCATGGAGGGCCTAGTGTCTTGAGTTTTTTTTTCTTCCTTTAAATTAAGACCTAGACAACCAGGTAATTAGTGACCTTAATTCATCAATCAAGTACAAGGGTGGAGCGAAAACCCACAGACACTCGGCCCTCCGCGGAATGAGTTTGACACTTGACCTAAAGGAAGGGAAGATGGAAAAATGTGTTTGAAAAGGAATCCGAAGCAGGTCAAGACGTGAATTCCCCCGTTGCTGTCCAGACTCTATCTCAATCGCTCTCTTGTCTTCTTTTTCACAGGGATATCAAGAACATTGGCGTAAGACTGCCCGGCCACCTGAAGAGAATTGCATACAGCATCCTGGGCTTGAAAGACCAGACCAGCACCCTCAGTGTATTTGCAGTGTGACTCAATACTAGTGGCACAGGAATTTGAATTGGCACTGAAGCAGGCAGCACTCTGACTGAACTTTGAACACTGTGTTGGACTGGACTGGAGCGGAGCTGCGGGAACGGCTTTTGACAGGCAGAACCAAACTGAACACGTCGTAGGAACATGGTCCAGCCAAAAGAGACTGACATATTGTACATTCTTGGAGATTTGTAACATACTTGTTAAGCATATGCAACAACAACAAAAAATTGTGGGGGGGGGGGGGATTTATACAGCAATAGATGTATTAATTAGACTGTGTATATTATACTGTATTTATTTTGTATTATCCATCTCCATTGTACAGATACAGTTCATTGCTCAATCTTTGTTTATATAGTTTTGGGATGCATGCTTCCCCTCTCCCCCCCTGAGGTTGTCTCTTACTTATGTAGCACCCAGTATTGAGTAGAGAAAATTAAAATAAGTGACAAAACCACTTACACTTAGTTCAACCAATATGATTCTTTGTGTGAAGTGGACTGCTGTGGCCTTTTCGGAATGAGTCTGGTGGTGTCGATGCCATTGTGAAATGCATTCTGGTCGCTGTAATCTCTTGCTAAACTAATGAAAATGGACTCGAAGCAGAGAGTACACCTGAAAGGGGCTGGACATACGTTAACATGAGGCACTGGTGTATGCCTCAGTCATAAGGTTATTGTCTTCAAGTCCAGGTTTGGCTGTTGTTGGCTACTGTTATGCCTTATCTCGGCTTGATTCTGATGTTAAGCTATCATATGAATTTGAGTTTATACAAAAAAGTGTGAAAAGATATGAGGTACTCATCATGTTCAGTTTATCGGGCTGCAAAGGCTTGTGTTAATTGATTGGGACCAAGAACATCACTTACAGTGCCTTGGGAAAGTATTCAGACCCCTTGACCTTTTCCCACATTTTGTTACTTTACAGCCTTATTCTAAAATTGATTAAATATTTATTTTTTCTCAGCAATCTACACACAATACCCAAAATGACAAAACAGAAATACCTTATTTACATAAGTATTCAGACCCTTTGCTATGAGACTCAAAATTGAGCTCAGGTGCATCCTGTTTCCATTGATCATCCTTGAGATGTTTCTACAACTTGATTGCTGTCCACCTGTGGTAAATTAAATTGATTGGACATGATTGGGAAAGGCACACACCTGTCTATATAAGGTCCCACAGTTGACAGTGCATGTCAGAGAAAAACCAAGCCATGAGGTTGAAGGAATTGTCCGTAGAGCTCCGAGACAGGAGCAGCATTAAGGGTCCCCAAGAACACAGTGGCCTCCATCATTCTAAAATGGAAGAAGTTTGGAACCACCAAGACTCTTCCTAGAGCTGGCCGCCCAGCCAAACTGATCAATCGGTGGACAGAGCTCTAGAGTCTGTGGAGATGGGAGAACCTTCCAGAAGGACAACCATCTCTGCAGCACTCCACCAATCAGGCCTTTATGGTAGAGTGACCAGACGGAAGCCACTCCTAAGTAAAAGGCACATGACAGCCCGCTTAGTTTGCCAAAAGGCATGTAAAGGACTCTCAGACCACAAGAAACAAGATTCTCTGGTCTGATGAAACCAAGATTGAACTCTTTGGCCTGAATGCCAAGCGTCACGTCTGGAGGAAACCTGGCACCATCTCTACGGTGAAGCATGGTGGTGGCAGCATCATGCTGTTGGGATGTTTTTCAGCGGCAGGGACTGGGAGACTAGTCAGGAACGAGGCAAAGATGACCGGAGCAAAGTACAGAGAGATCCTTCATGAAAACGTGCTCAAGGGCACTCAGGACCTCAGACTGGGGTGAAGGTTCACCTTCCAACAGGACAACGACCCTAAGCACACAGCCAAGACAATGCAGGAGTGGCTTCGGGACAAGTCTCTGAATGTCCTTGAGTGGCCCAGCCAGAGCCCGGACTTGGACCCGATCGAACATCTCTGGAGAGACCTGAAAATAGTTGTGCAGCATCGCTCCCCATCCAACCTGACAGAGCTTGAGAGGAATGAGAGAAACTCTCCAAATACGGGTGTGCCAAGATTGTAGCGTCATACCCAAGAAGACTCGAGGCTGTATCGCTGCCAAAGGTGCTTCAACAAAGTACTGAGTAAAGGGTCTGAATACTTATGTAAATGTGATATTTCAGTTTTGTATTTTTAATACATTTGCAAAGATTTCTAAACCTGTTTTTGCTTTCTCATTATGGGGTATTGTATGTAGATTGAGTAGGGGGAAAAACGATTTAATCAATTTCAGAATAAGGTTGTAACATAACAAAATGTGGAAAAAGTCAAGGGGTCTGAATACTTTCCGAATGCACTTAAATAAGTAACAATTGGGTTAAGTTGTCTCATCTAAAAGATCTTACTTGCCAATATTATCATTATGCCGTAGGAAGATCACATTTGAAATAAAATGAGGCAGAAAGAATTTGTTTATATTAATGATGATGGATTTAATTTGGAAAGGTATTGTGTCAAGCTTCAAGTCAGAAATACATTGAGTGTGTGCCTTTTTTCAAAGTTAGTTGAAAATAAAAATGCCCAAAAAATAAACATTTTGGAGGGTTAGAAATGCTTGTTGCGATTTCAGAGAGTGTAACGTGTAGTTTTAATATGCAATTTCAATGTGACAGTAAAGTAGTCTTTTTTTCAGATTGCTTTATCCAGATTTCTTTATATGGTGTTCAGTAACACATTTTTGTGGGATGAAACTCTTTGCTCTGACAATGCAGATATACTTGTAAGCTTGGTGTATTATTTTTCCTCTCATTGCATTCCATTGATAAAGTGCCTGTTTCTGTTAATGCCAAGAAAATATAAATTTCCTTCCGTCTTTATTGACCAGCTCATCCATATCCACATTTTTTCCCCAGATCTGCTTGTGCTCTTGTCAACTCGCATCAAACAATGACGTCAATGGAGTTGGCAAGAGCACAAACAGGTCTGGGACTAGTCTATATCCAAAAGACAGTGTTCATAATGTATCCCAATGCTCTTAAAAGATGACTGCAAATCAGTTTACTCTCTTCACTACTTGATTGTTTTGCTGTAACTTTTTTTGCACTGTCTTATTTCACGAAAATATGATGGTCCTTGTTTTATATATCTTGTGAACATTATTAGATTACTAGATTTCCATTTGTAAAAGGGATTTTCTTCTGGTTTATTGACTTAGATTTTTGCCTTTTTGTATAATTTGCCTTTTTAAAGCCCCAATGCAGCTGTTTTATCTCAATATCAAATAATTTACTGTGGTTGTTTTCATTTAAAATTGAAAAAAGAGAGAAAAATAGCTTCTTAGCTAAGCGCAATTTCTCAAGCAAGAATTTTGCTAAGAATATCTGGGAGTGGGGAGGGGAAAACTAGCTGTTAATGGCAGAGAGGTTTGGAACTCTTATTGGTCTATTAACTAATTATCTGCCTTGTGATGTCACTAGGCAGGCCATAACTCCATCCCACCAAAACAGGCTGAAATTTCAGTCAATCTTTTCAAACAGCTCTTACACTAAAAGGGCATTATCATTTTCACAATTTCATAGTGTGGAAATATACACTGAGGATACCAAACATTAGGAACACCTTCCTAATATTGAGTTGAACCACCCCCCCCCCCCCCCCCCGGCTGGATGTCCTTTGGGTGGTGGACCATTCTTGAGTGTGAAAAACCCAGCAGTGTTGCCGTTCTTGACACAAACCGGTGCGCCTGGCACCTACTACCATACCCCGTTCAAAGGCACTTAAATATTTTGTCTTGCCCATGCACCATCTGAATGGCACACATACACAATCCATGTCTCAAGGCTTAAAAATACTTCTTTACTGGTCTCCTCCCCTTCATCTACACGGATTGAAGTGGATTTAACAAGTGACATCAATAAGGGATCATTGTTTTCACTTGGAGTCACCTGGTCAGTCTATGTCATGGAAAGAGCAGGTGTTCTTAATGTTTTGTGTACTGAGTGTGATTTTGACTACTCGTTCCTTAAGCAGTCAATTGAGCAGTTTCTTGATTAAAAAGTGAACTCTTATACTTTATTTAATAGTATTTTTTACTTTTATTTATTGTCATACTTACACTGAGCTGGGATTTATTTGTAATTGAAGGTTGTTTTTCAGTCACAATAAATTGCCTTTCATTCATATTTGGTATTTAATAGGATCCCCATTAGCTGCTGCAAAAGCATCGGCTACTCTTCCTGGAGTCCACATGAAGCATGACATAATACATAGTACAGAACATTACTAGTCAAGGACTGAAATACATCAATTTAAAACGTCACACACAGCCTACATATCAGTACATACAGTGCATTCGTAAAGTATTCAGACCCTTTCACTTTTTCCACATTTTGTTACGTTACAACCTTATTCTAAAATTGATGAAAGAATTGTTTTTAGAAATGTTTGCTAATGTATTACAAATAAGAAAAGGATATGACATTTACATACGTTTTCAGACCCTTTACTCAGTACTTTGTTGAAGCACCTTTGGCAGCGATTACAGCCTTGAGTCTTCTTGGGTATGACGCTACAAGCTTGGCACACGCGTATTTGGGGAGTTCCTCACATTATTCTCTGCAGATCCTCTCAAGCTCTGTCTGGGGAGCGTCGCTGCACAACTATTTTCAGGTCTCTCCAGAGTTGTTTGATCGGGTTCAAGTCCGGGCTCTTGCTGGGCCACTCAAGGACATTCAGAGACTTGTCCCGAAGCCACTCCTGCGTTGTCTTGGCTGTGTGCTTAGGGTCGTCGTCTTGTTAGAAGGTGAACTTTCGCCCCAGTCTGAGGTCCTGAGCGCTCTGGAGCAGGTTTTCATCAAGGATCTCTCTGTACTTTGTTTCATTCATCTTTCCCTCGAACCTGACTAGTCTCTCAGTCCCTGCCGCTGAAAAACATCCCCACAGCATGATGCTGCCACCACCATGCTTCATCGAAGGGATGGTATTGGCCAGGTGATGAGCTGTGCCTGGTTTCCTCCAGACGTGACACTTGGCAT